ACCGTAGCCAGCCTGTGCCCCTTTAAGGGCTCCGGGAGGGGGGCAGAAGAGTTTCCCTGGTGTTGGCCAGAGTGGCCACCAGGGAAAGCTGGGGAGGGCTAGCCTCCCACTAGTTTGAATTAAGTGGCTACACAGCCCTTAATTCGAACTAGTTAATTCAAACTAGGCATTAGTCCTCGTGGAATGAGGTTTACCTAGTTCGAATTAAGCGCTCCGCTAGTTTGAATTAAGTTCGAACTAGCGGCTTGCGTGTGTAGCGCCTATCAAAGTTAGTTCGAATTAACTTTGTAGTGTAGACATACCCTAACTGCCCAGCTCTGAAAGCTGTGCTTTGCCAGGAGCAGGCAGAAGTAAAGGTAGCAGAACTGAAACCTCCTCTATGATAACTTTACAACCCTGTGCACTGCTTTGAGGGTCAGGACCCCTACTATTACAACACCATGACATTTCAGAATGATATAGCTGAAATCATGACATTTAGGATTTTAAAAATCCTATCAATGTGAAATTGACCAAAATGGACTGTGAATTTGGTAGGGACCTACTCGTGACTTGCCAGGCTTAGAAATACTTTGGACTAGTACAGATGCTTTCAGGACCAGTAAATATTTCCAAACTAGACAAATGATCAGAACTAAATATTCAGTTCTCATAACCTCTGTATTCAGTTTCTTCCATTTTTCCATCTGGGATTGTGTGTCTGACTCAACCACCCCCCCAGTAGTTTAACCCAGATACTTAGGTATGTTGTTTCATTCTTATTGTAAAAACCATTTTCAGCCTCATCTCTCTACCTCTGCTTGGCTTGACTTTTCTGGCTTTTTTCTCTCAGGCTGTCTCTAGGCTACAAAGAAAAGTCAGAAAAAGATATACAACTTGCAAACTGTAATTTGCATATCATTTTCTGCGTTTCTTCCGAAAGAGGTTTTCCCAATATTTGGCCTGTCTACACTGGGCCAAATGTCAGGAAAAAAGCTTTTTTCAGAACATCCCTTCTTCCTCGTAGAACAAGGTTTACAGGGATGCCGAAAAAACACGTCTGCTTTTCCGATTTTTTTTTCTCAGAAAAGCAGATGTATTCCTTGGATGCGGCAGAGCTTTTCTGGGATTCCCGGAAAAACTCTGCAGTCTAGATGTACCCTCAGTCTTTCATTTTCTTTCATTAAGAAAAGTAGTGGCTGAATCCCATTCTACTGCTCTGAGATTTTGTTGTCCTATCTTAGAAGGAAATTAAACTATACTCATCAGGAAATTTGAGTACAACACGCAGCCAGCGGATCTGATTTCAGTAATGCTGAAAGATATAGTATAGACAGGACCTTCGTATACTGCTAAAAACCTGTATTGCCCAAACTACTTGTCACAGGGAGCTGGTTAGTTCCTATCAATACTTTGTAACTGTGCTGTAACCAGTTCCTCTGACTCCCCATTTCTAATGTAGGAAAGGCGAATGTAGTCTAGCCGTTCAGTCCGACATACTGAATCTTTTGCACCATGCTAAAGAACAATGCCTGAACCCCATTCGTGCTATCAAGATGGTAACACTGTTCCCTTGGTTAGTGTGGCCCATCATCTCACTGGAAAGTTTAACTTCAAGATGGTGGCTATATAGCAGGTGAAGTTCTGAAAAACCTGGCCTTTAGGAAAGATTATAAATAGTTGATGTGGAAAGGAGAGAACATTTCCATTTTAGACAGATATAGAAATAATACTTATGAAATGGAAAAAACATCTTGCTCTAATTGTCTGGTAAACATGCTAATAAGCTATGCAGCATTTTGTTCTCCTGTATGAATATCTGTAGTCTCCTGAAGAGCGTTACAGGCTCTATTTAAACCATCATTGTGTTTTCTTAAGATGAGATCTTAATATAAATGATTTGCAGGCTTAAAATTTTAAATGGAAATGCCTGAGTCTTAATTTCATACCGCTAAAGATAGAACTCCAAATCAATGCACTGTCAGCCTTAGTTCTCTGCTTGGTTCCTTGGCAGCCACCTATTGTACAATACCCTGAGGAAATAGACATTATTGTTTGCTGCACATTCTATTCTATCTCCACTTAAATAGGCTGAGGGA